AGATGTTATATATATGTATATATATATGTATGTATATATTGAATGTTAAATAATATGTATATGAATATATATTTACATGTACATATGTTTATATAATATAATGGTGGTGGTGAATATACGCTTACATGTACCATATGTATATAGAATATAATATATAATGATGATGGTGCGGTTGTGATGGCCTCTCATTGCAAATCCAACAGCAATCCATCACAACAAGGGGTCGCGTAACTGTCAAAGTGCACCAGCTTAAACCAACTTTGTGCCTGCTTGGGCTTGAGGAGGCAAGCCTGTTACCTGTAAGGGAGCAATAGACACATAGTAGCCACGAATTAACGACCCTAAAACAAGAAGCTTCGATAGGCTTAGCAAGCCAGAAGTGGATAACCTTTGCTTGTAAAATTCATGAACTAGCCTCGAGTATCAATAATCGGTGGACAGAATATTTCAATAAGTTACTGAATGTAAAACCAGAAGAGATAATAATTGAAAAAACTTGCAGGGAAGAAACAAGTGTGGAGGAGTTAAAAGATGATTAAATTACAAGAATTAGAAACAGCTATTTAGAAAATGAAAAATTTGAAATCGTCAGGGGAAGATGAAATCACTATAGAAATAATTAAATATGGAGGTGAGGAGATCAATAGACATGTATTACGATTAATATACTAATGTTGGCGCAAAGGTGAAATACCAGAAGATTGGGGAAAAACTTTAATCATACCAAACTATAAAAGAAAAGGAGACTCCGGTAGTTGTGAAAACTATATGGGAATTTCACTAATTAATCATTCAGCTAAATTATACTAAAGAATTACAGAAAAAAGAGTTAGCGGATTGAACCAAGGATGGGTTTAGAACAACATGGCTACAGAAAGGACATGTTTACTACTGACCTGATATTCAGCATACGATCGTTGGTGGAAAAATCATGGGAGTCAACAAACCGGCTTATTTCACTTTCATTGATTTAAGCAAAGCTTTCGACTCTATACCTAAGGAGATGCAGTGGATGTGTATGGAAGAAGAGTATGGTATCGCTGGCCGTTTAGGAAGAGCTTTGAAAAGCATGTGTAGCCCATGCCTCTGCAAGGTCAGGACAGGTTTTGATAATAAGAAATGGTTCAATGTAGAAACTGGTGTAAAACAGGGAAGTGTTATATCCCCAATATTATTTATTGCATACATGGACAGCGTCTTAAGAAATTTTAAATTAAAACATAATCGACCCACCACAGGTCTCATTATGGCCTATGCAGATGATATTTCATACTACACAGATGAAAGAGAAGATCTTGAGAGAGCAATACATACGTCATTGCAATGAATGTTTTAAAAGAGCAGTTTATGAAGCTGAATGTCTCAAAGACTGAAATCCTCTGTGTCAGCAGGAAGAAAGAAGAGAACCTCAACATAAAATCATCAATGGAGAAACCGTGAAAAATGTAGAAAAGGCAAAATATCTAGGAAGCGTCGTCATGCAAAAAGTTGGAAATAAATTGGATATCACAGAGAGAATTGGGAAATTCAGCAAGAATGTAGGTGCGTTGTATCCTATCCTATAGGACAAACACAGGCCCGTAGCCAGGTCATTTCAAGGGGGAGGGGTTCTCTGGGTGTGGGATCCAGGGGACTGCCTAAGGGCCCCGGTGAGGTCGGGGGCGAAGCCCCCGAAGCCAGAGCAGTTTTTGTGTTTAATTGGGTCTATATAATGTTATAAAAGCAGTTATGTTTTGAAAAAGATCTATGTAATAAAAGGTGGTAATATAATAAAATTGGAAAATATTTTCTGAGAATTGGCATGTTTTAATCACACCGAAAGACAAAAAAAAAACCTCATCGCATAATCAATATCAATATACTCAACACATTTGTTATTATAAAACAAAACAAGCTATTATATAGGCCTATAAAGTAATTTACAAAGAATTATGTACTGTGCTTATTTATAATATATAAAACTTTTAAGAAGTTTTGTATTGTTTTAACTTAAATAATGAATCTTCCAGTAGGCCTATATAAACAAATAGAGTTGCCTGTTACAAAATAAAGTAGGAGCTGAACTTCTTCTTGACTCTCATCTTGTACACTGAAAATAATAGTACTATTTTTACTACATGGCTAAAAAAGCACAAATAAATGTCATTACTACAACTGACAGGGCCATCGTTAAATTAAGTCAGAGCCCAAAATATAGCTTCATTATTGAATACGTCATCTGACATCATGGGAACCTAAACTTTAATTACAATTATTTGTTTACTAGGCCTAATTCGAAATTATTGTTTTAAGACTTTAACCTAATACATACTGATTAATAATAGCTGAGATTTGATGCACATTTCAAAATTAATAATCGTTTTTAGTATCTTACTGAATATTTATTGTCTACCAAATAAAATATGAATTATATATGAATCTTTAGAAATACAATTTCTACAATATTTTTTTTTAATCTTTTGTGGGGTCGTCCCACTTTTATTCACAATTCATATCTGGCATAAACAGCTACTGCATATCAGTTTCTCATAATGGGTAAAATGATTATAATTTGCAGAAAACAAATGTGATAAAATTGTAATATACAATGTAAATGCAGCATTTATCGATCAATCAATCAATCAAAAAAAAATCACTGTAAATCCAAGTGTAAAGTTAACCGATCGATTAAAAAAAAAAAGCATTACACTGTACATATTGAGGTTGGTCAAGTACATGTTTACATATATTATTTTCGTATAGGCCTATTTAATGTACTTTCTTATACTTTTTTTAACAATAAACAGTTGATAGACTGAGGTAAATTTCCATTTATTAATTTGTTTTAACACATTTGCTTTATATATGCAAAATAAACCTAATGAAAACAAATTGTCTGCATACATATTCCCTGTACAAAGTACTATGTTTTAAAGTTTAACTCAATATTATAATTTTTTGAGGTAAGTTCGTTAATGTAGCGCCATAGATTACTGGCTTCTGCACATTCATAAAATAAATGTGCATCATCCTCAACACGGTTGCATTGTAAGCACGTGTTTGAGTTTTTAATTTTCCATATACATAATCTTTTCCTAGTGGGAATAATTCTATCTAATAATTTAAAATTAACTTGTTTGAGTTTGTTTTCACTAATCATTTTTACTTTTCTTTTCCAGGTTAACATCCAATCAACTGTAGTATTAAAATATAATTCCCATTTTAATTGACATTTCGGTTCTATACATTTGCTTTCGACAAAACTAGTATACGTTTGTTTGCATTTTGTGTTACACGGTTTTGTAATAAGCAAAAGGTTTCTCTTGCTCTGCATTCTCATTTTGTGAAAAAATCACATCTTTCCATTCATGTGGAATGGCCTTTAACACAATATGATATTCTGATATCCAATTTGATTTAGTAGATAACTTTTCTAATAATTCGTTCGATTGAATAAATCTATTTCCAAGCACAATATCTTTGATTTTTCTTATACCTGACCTTATCCAGTTTCTATACAATAGTGATAGACCATTGTAAGTTATTATTTTATTTCCCCAAATGTTTTGTTCGAGTATTTCATTGTAACATGTTGGGTATTTCATTATAATTTCGTTAAAACTAGTTAACGCCTTTAATACACCTATATAAAAACTAGGAATACCTTCACATTTTTTTTTTACATTTAAGTGTGACATAGGCCTATTTTCAATAACATATTGCGGGCCAATTCTGTTAAAATACATAGATGACATAATTTCCATTTAGACGTTTCATCATTGGAAAGACGTCTAGCCCATGATATGTTGAAAGATGGCACTTGAGACCTGAAGTCGGGTGCTTTTATACCACCATGTTCATATTTGTTTATGAGAGTT